CTTTTTCATACGATTAGTTTGATTCTCTACTCCAGAACTTCTAGAAGAAGCTCCAAGTGGTTGAATATTCGATGGAGGATTGAGATTACCATAAATACAAGTCCACAATTCTTCATCCAAACCATTGAGATAATCCTCCATACGATCAACCCACTGATCGTAATACTTAGGGATTAGCATTGGAATTTTTGTTGATGATCCTAACAAATGAGAAAATGAAGTCATGGAATTAAGATTGAATGACGTCATTGTTGTACGAAAGAAAACTTTGAGAATTTTGAAGAAACTATGAGAATTTAACAGCAAACTAGTTGATTCAAATTGAAATTACTAGATGAACACTCGATTCAACAATTCAAGTGCATAATCGAATCACAGAACTAGATCCAATGAACTTTTCACTTTTCAAAAAGTGCGGAAACTTTTAAACCAAAAAAAAATTGATTTAAAAACTTTTGAAATGATGAAAATCAGATCAGAGATATGATTCCTGCTCTGATACCAAATGAAGAATCAAAGAATCGAGTATGAATATTAATCAGAGTTTGAAATCAAAAAAAAAATGTATGTAAGATTGAACACCGATGTAAATAAGATCTTGATTCAGCTCAATATTACGTTGTTAGGTTTACAGAGTGCAAAATAGACAAGACTGTAAAACCTTATCTAGCTCTAGTAAAGACTTCTATTTATAGGAGAATAAAAGCGTACAAAAAATATACTAAGGACTAGACAAATAAGCTTCGAATAATGTGCCTTAGTAAAATAGATAACATACTATACGAAGAGTACACATAAGGCTTCGACTCATTACAACCAAACTACCCTTACAAATGGATAAAAGTTTGCCACTAGCTTGATAAAGCTTGGATCTTTGGGCTCAATGGACCTCATATTGTCCAAATCCCAAGTCTCAACTCCATGGCAAGCTCAAATAACTCTAGAACTCAAAGAATGATGGAAAAAGGCCCTAAACTCCGTAGAAAAGAGATCTAACCAAATAATGAGCAAAGTGGTAGCTTATTACCTTCAAACAGAAGCTAGGAATGAATGAACACCGGATCTAAGAGCTCCTTCTCGTCCCAAGCGTTTTGTTCCTCAATCTCCCTCCAAAAATGCACTAAAATATGCAATATTAGCCTCTCTTTCTCATACACAAGGATGTAGCTCGATTAGGGTTTCTCTCAAAGTGGTAAGATGATAAGGGAGGCAGAAATGAAGGTTTAAGGTCCTTTAAATAGGACACAAACCCTGAAAATTAGGGTTTTCTCACTCAACATCTGCTCGTCGAGTTGGGGTCCTCCAACTCGTCAAGTAGACTCTAAAAATCATGCGGCCATTAACTCCTCTACTCGGTGAGTTGGGGCATCCAACTCGTCGAGTTGTTCCGACATTATGAATGTAAGTTATTTAAGTATTATACCTGAGAGTCAAAATGTTATATATAAAGCATATGTATAAATACAAATATGAAAATACCACATAAATACATTCAAAAATATATCTATACGTTTATATATGTATAAAAACTGCTTTTATATGTATAAGTAACGTTTTTACATATAAATAACATTGGTATACATATTTAGATGTATAAAAACGTTTTTCATACACATAAATTTACATCAATATGTTCTTATAAAAAAATACACATATACCTACGTTAAAATACATTTTTATGTGATATATATGTTTTTAAAAATAAAAAATTATGGTTTTAAGTATATAAACATGCTCGAAAAATTGTAGTAGTAGTAGTAATAATAATAATAATAATAATAATAATAATAATAATAATTGTTCCCCTATAACACATTATATATTAAGTTAGGAAATAAACACAAGAATCCTTCTAGCTTGATGGTAGAATTCCCTGCGAGCAATGTGGGAGTTTTGGGTTAGAATCCTCTTGGTCTCCATTTTGTTCACAATTTGCCTTTTTCATCCGAAGGCAACACACGCTGACATATGTCAGCTCCTTCTAGCCTCTTCTCTCCAATCAACTATGGATTGACCGGTCATAGAAGGTAAATTGGTAAAACCGAACATTTTTTATGGTATTTGAGTCATGCATAAATTTCAACTTTGGCCATAGAAGGTGAAGGGGGAAAACTAAACAATTTTTCCGGTATTTGAGACATAAACGAACATAAATTTTAACTTTGGGTAAAACCGACAAAAACTTAAAAACTTAAGATTTTTTAAGACATTAACTCTTCTATTAAACGTATGTTACAACTTATAATTTAGAACCAAATACCCTAACTAAAAATCTAATTACCCAAGAATTACTACTAACAAAATCCCACAAAAAAAAAAAAAAAAAAAAAAAAAAAAAAAAAAAAAAAAACCCCACTTATAATTTAGAACCAAATACCCTAACTAAAAATCTAATTACCCAAGAATTACTACTAACAAAATCCCACAAAAAAAACCCACTTTATAATTAGTAAATTCAAATAAAAGAAACTCAATCATTTTACTGTTAAAGTTAACAAATACTAATTAAACCAACAACTAACAATTATTACAAACAATAAACAAATAAAACTAATAGTTGCATTTATTTATTTACGAAAATGGAAGACGACTCCTCGGGTTTTTACATCGAAAATTGGCAGGAAAGGTTGAGAAAAAAAGGGTAGGGAATGAATAACTATATTAAATTAGAAGAGAGCTATAAAAGATTTATGAAATTTCAAATGTTTGGTGCAATCAAATATCAAGTGGAGACGGAACTGTAAGGTGTTGTTTGCTTTTCTGAAGTCAAAATATCTGCAGTCTGCGGATTACATCTGCAAGTCTCTGCAGCAGAAGAGGTGGATCAAACGTCTGCAGTCTACAATAAGAAGACTGTTTGTTTTTTAACGTCTGCAGGCTGTTAAAATAAACTAAATGGTAAATAAAATGGTTTTTAAACACCAAAATTCTAATAACAATTATATCGTAGAACATTAAAATGGTTTTTAAACACCAAAATTCTAATAACAATTATATCATACATTAAAATAAATCTCATGTTTTACACATTTCAACACAAAATCAACATATAATGACTTGAGATTTCACACTTTCAGCTAAAAAACTGCTAATAAACACAATTATTCGACAATTTCAGCAAATATATATATATATATATATATATATATATATATATATATATATTATATATATATATATATATATATATATATATATATATATATATATATATATATAGAGGGTTAGATTCATTTGAGACCACCTATATTTTGTGAGACGCATTTTTTTATTTTTTTTTATTTTTTTTTATCTTTTTTAGTTAATTCATGTTCCGAAAATAATATTTAAAAAAAAGAATTTTTTGATTTTTCCATTTATTTTGCATTTAAAAATTATTTTTAGAATATGTACAGTGTAATATTCTATTTAGAATATTTCACGTATTTTTCAAAAAAAAATAGATTTTTTTTTAGTTAATCCAAGTTCCGAAAATAATATTTAAAAAAAGAATTTTTAGATTTTTCCATTTATTTTGCATTTTAAAATTATTTTTTAGAATATGTTAGTGTAATATTCTATTTAGAATATTTCACGTATTTTTCAAAAAGAAAAACGGAATTTTTTTTTTTTTATATTTTTTTATATTTTTTTTATTTAATTCAAGTTTCGAAAATAATATTTAAAAAAGAATTTTTGGATTTTTCCATTTATTTTGCATTTTATAATTATTTTTAGATTTGGTCTCACGGTCTCACAAAATTAGAATGGTCTCAAATGAACCTGAACCTATATATATATATATATATATATATATATATATATATATATATATATATATATATATATATATATATATATATATATATATATATATATATATTTCATATTTTCAGCAAAAAAAAAACAAAATATAAGCATCATTATTTGGCCAATTCAACGCAAAACAACACATCACAAACATTATTTCAGCAAAAATAACACATAAATATCAACATTTCATATTTTCAGGAAAAAAAAAACAGCATATAAGCATTATAATTTAATTTCAACACATCAAAAACATTATTTCAGCAAAAGTAATACATCAACATCAACAATTCAAAATTTTCAGCAAGATAAATCAAGAAAGGTAGTTTTTTTTGGCTGAAAATGTTCCAGCAAAACAGCACATGAAAAACAATGTTCCAGCAATATTTAACAAAAAATTAAACAAGAAATGATACTTTCTGATTTTTAGCAAGAAAAATAAACAAGAAAGGCTACATAAACAACAAGTAATTTCAGTAAAATGGATAGTTTTCAGGAAAAATAAACTTCAATTTCATGTTAAAACAAGAAAAAAAAATCAAAGGAGAGGTACTTACCTGGATAGCGGCGTCGGTGGTGCTTTGGACAGCAGCGTCAAGCAGAGCAGACGGGCTGAAGAAGACCAGCAGTAGAGGGGCAATCGATTAGGAAGTCAATTGGAATGAAGGCGTTGGAGAAGAGAAGATGCGTTCGTTTTTTTTTAGGTTAAAATCGATGGTGCTCCTTGTCTTGACGGCGGCAACGAGAGGAGGAGATAGGATGAAGAAGACCACCGGTGGAGGGTAGTCAATTGAAGAAAGCGGTTGTCCCTCTTGTATGTCGTCGATGGTATCTTTGATTGGAATGAAAGCACTAGAGAAAATATGCGTCCTTTTTTTTAAGTTAAAAAGGTTTGAAGACTTGTGAAGACAATAGTTCATATATGTAATAAGAAAACCTCGTGCAGACGTTTTTACATCTGCAGACTTTCAAAAAACAAACACTTTGCAAAGGCATATGTCTGTGCGTAATCTGCACCGCGCAGACAAAAGTGATTGTGCAGATCGGCATAAAAAAACAAACAGCTTCTAAGTTTATAAAATCATATGTTATACTCATCACTAACCATTATAGTAGTGAGTGACAAATTTTTTTATTGTAGAGAGAGATAAAGAGAAGAAAAAGAGTGACAAATTTTTCTTTTGATTGGGCGTGCTCATCCATTCCTGGCCACAAATCACAACCAAAAATAACCACCAAGGGCCTGTACACTAACCACGATCGTGACGCGTGGACGACGAGTGGTATCCATACAACCCACATGGTCTAATAAAAAAACATGTGTTTAATACAACAAGTGGGACACACATTTAAGAGGGGTCATTGCACCCCACAACCAATACACTTGTCATCCCTACCCTATCTTGAGCATGAAATAACCACCGCAACAATCACTTCGAAATGCATGGCCTACGTGGCCCATGCACATGCATGCGTTCCCAAAACCTCAAAAACAACCACATAATTCTGTCGAGGGGTTTTTACGTATACATTATATAGAGAGGAGAAGCAAGCAGGGACACCAAATACCCATAAAGCTTGACAGCCTGTAAATATTCAGACTGAAAAATGGGTTCGGATGAGGAGCAATTCGCATACGCAATGCAACTGGTTACCTCCATGTCCCTCACCATGGTGCTGGTGAATGCAATGAAGCTCAAGATCTTCGAGACTATAGCAGAGGCAGGACCTGATGCACGGCTCTCGGCTCATGAGATCGTATCCCGTTTGTCCATGACAAATCCGAGTGCTCACCAGATGCTCGATCGAATGCTTCGGTTGCTCGCTACTCATTCTGTTGTAACCTGCAATCAACAAGAACGTGAGTTTGGTCTGGTTCGAGTGTATGGACTCACCCCCGTTGCCAAATACTTTGTTCCTAACAAAGATGGGGTGTCCTTATGTGCTTTGATGGAGTTGCTTCAAGATAAAGCTTTCGTTGATAGCTGGTATGTTTAATCCCACTAAACAGTTTATATCAAAACAATGGGAGAAGTTTAGGAAATATATATATATATATATATATATATATATAATATATATATATATATATATATATATATATATATATATATATATATATATATATATATATATATATAACTTTTATTTAGTTCAGTCACAGGTTTATAAAACTTTTTTACCGAATTAACGGATGAGGGTAACATGTGAATTAATAGAGTATGGGTGTTATCTAATCTATGTGCAAAATCTGACTGGGTGGAATCCGCTCAAATAGCTATAGATTAATTAGTTAAGCTCCATAAATCACATAAATTGTCAAATCGATCATAGAAGGCTATACACATTATTTCACTCATAATAGGTACACGAAGCAATTTAGGAGTAAGCATGAATTATCCATTTTTAAAGATAAACCTTGAAGCGTCTCCAACTCTTGTTTTTCCTTAATAACAACTAGAAAGTTACCCCACTACGCGGGTACCAGAAGCTTTCAATGTTGCTTCCGAATCGATAAATATAATAGACGTAGAAAGTGTAAGGATGAAAAGTCTGGGCTTTTGCCCCGGACCATTTGTTTCTCATGTTTTTATAAAAAAAATATAAAAGTTTTGACTGCAAGGACCAAAAGTGTCAAAATGTTTAAAAAATTAAAGGGGTAGAAGTTAACAACTTTTTAGAAAAGAGATCAAATTTGTCAAATCATTAAAAATTTGTGGCCAAACTTTAAATATTAAAAGGTTCTTAAAAAGTGTAAAAATATTGAATGCAAGGACCAAAAGTATCAAAATGACTAAAGAATGAGAAACAAAGTTGCCAAAAAAACATCCAAATTTACTATTTCTAACTTTGAAACCCAACAATAATACAGGGACCAATTATGCTAAAAAAATAACAAGTTAAGTATTTCTAAGATTCATTTCTTTATTAATAATAATAATAATAATAATAATAATAATAATAATAAAATACTATTAGCTTTTAATTATTATTATTGGACATGAAAACTTTTTTAATGGTAAATACAATCTTTAGTAAACTCTAACTTTTTAATTCTTTTATATGCTTTTTCGATATTGATAATTTATTTTATTTCCTAGATATTAATTAATCATTTTATTTTGTTATTATTAGATCTATTTGATTAAATATACAAAAAAAATGAATATATTTTTATAGAAATTTTTATCATAAAAGCTTTTTTCTTCAAAATGATACAAATACCAAAAATTTAAATAAATAAATAAATAAATAAAACATTATCATAACATAAGATTTTATTGTTCTTTTATATGTTAAAATATTATTATCAACTAATGTTATTTGTGAGAAATATAACACAGACTTAAAAATAGAAAAAATAAAATCATGATTATAGTTTATAAAAGGTTAATGGTTGGTGTAAGTTTATAACAACAGTTTTTCAATCAAAATTAAAAGCTTTTGAGAGGTTAACCATTGTGAATTCTTTTTTCTATGGTTTATCACAGACTTAAAAATAGAAAAAATAAAATCATGATTATAGTTTATAAAAGGTTAATGGTTGGTGTAAGTTTATAACAACAGTTTTTCAATCAAAATTAAAAGCTTTTGAGAGGTTAACCATTGTGAATTCTTTTTTCTATGGTCTATAAACAAGATTAATGTTTTGCAACCGGTGAATTGTTCTTTGATTATTAGGGTGATAGACTTTTTTTGTTTATTGAACAAGGTTTAAACTCAAAGATTCATTGTTAGAAGGAGGTGTTCCATTTGATATGGTTCATGGAACACATGCATTTGAATATCCAGCATTAGATGCAAAGTTCAATGAGGTCTTCAACAATGCCATGACGAATCATACTACTATGGTGATGAACAAAATTCTAGAGTGCTACCATGGTTTCGAAAACCTCAAGCAAGTGGTTGATGTAGGAGGTGGTTTAGGAGTCAATCTCAACATCATCATATCAAAATATCCCGGTATAAAAGGAATTAATTTTGATTTGCCACATGTGATCCAACATGCACCGGGCTATCATGGTATGTTTAGTTTAGGTCTTCTCAACCTTTTAAAATTAAAGACGATCAATCTGGGAAAAAAATAATGGAGCCTAAAGAAAAGAAATAGGGTTAATTGAATTTCAAACCTAGAGCCAAATGTAAATGAAATCTAAAACCAAGAACCGTTATGTTTTGGTTCTTTGATTTTTTTTGGTCCTAAACTTTTTTGACAACCTTATTTATTCATGTTTTTCTTATTGTAAAATGTAGGTATAGAACATATTGGAGGAGATATGTTTGAAGAGGTTCCCCCAAGTGATGCCATCTTTATGAAGGTAAATTTTCACGAATATCCTTACAATTTGAATTGAAGGTCTTTCTAATTGATGAAACATGAAACCTGGAATAGTGGATATTGCATGATTGGAGCGATGATCATTGTCAAAAGTTGCTAAAGAATTGCTACAAGGCATTGTCAAATGAGGGGAAGGTTATTGTAGTTGAGAGCATTCTTCCTTTTTTGTCCAACACAAGCTCTTCCGATAAAGTCACCACTCAAATAGATGCAATCATGATGACACAAAATCCAGGAGGAAAGGAACGCACGGAGCATGAGTTTCTTGTGTTGGCTAAAAGTGCAGGATTCACTGGAATAAAAATGGAATGCTTCGTTTGCAACCTTTGGGTCATGGAATTTTACAAGTAGAGTTTTCTCTAATTATATGTGTACTTTATATTTAATCATTGATGATATCTTGAATTATAAGTAATTACCTTAACTCCTAGATTAAAAGAGGTTTATTAATGTGATATTTACGCACATGAGAAAAATGGATATGTTTATCGAATAAATAGGATTTAAACTAAGCTTATATGACAAATTTCTCAAGGTTTTCAATAATGTTGGAGAGTTTGAGATCCATTATTGTAATTTGTCGAGAAAATGGATAAAGTTTTCGGTGTATAACAAGAATTACTAAAGCGCCGGTTTGAGCTTACATGCACACCTAGTTTCTTGTTAGTTTTTATTTTAATTTGATTTTGTTCAAAGACAAAAGGCAAAGAGGAAAAAACTTGTCTTCCTCTTTTTCACTACATGAAAGGAAAAGTTATCAGATAGTTGAAGTAGCTTAGATGTATTTTCCATAAATAGTTAAGATATAATTAGAAGAGAGAGGAAGTAGCTCATGTTGCAAAATAACTTTGCTAATGTGGGTTTTAGATACCAAAAGGTCATTGGCCTAGTAATTGTATCAGGTGTTTGTAATGTTTCCTTCTCCTAAGGGGTAAAATCGGTCCATTAGTTTTTAATGCTCTCAACAAGATTAAAAAAATTATGCCCCTGTATTTGTAAGTCCCGATTTCAATGATCCAAACCAGTGATCAAACAAATAGCAATCAATCAGAATAAGAATGAAGAAGAGGAAAGATTAAACCAAGCATGCACACGTTAAAATCACAAAAACATCAGGTATACCTTGGATACACACACATACGTCACCCTAAAACTGACACGGACACACTTTATTTATAGGACCACCAGTTGTACACGCGTGTACAGCCGTACACCCATGTACGGCCGTACACAGGGTGTACGGTCGTACACACGATTCTGGTCGTACATAGCCACACAACAGGCTACAAACACCATTACAAAGCCCAAAATCCTACCAAGACCTATACAAGATGGATGCTTAGCCCAAACCACTATATTATGACCTATCAATCTCCCCCCTTGGTTTGAGGCTAGCATAGACTTGGTCTTCAGTCTTTTGGTTTCTCGAATAGCCTTAGGTCAGATTTTCCCATAGATCCCATCCAGAGCCTATCCTTGATAATTGTGGCAACCATTCCTATAAATTCTTTTGTAGAAGCCTCCATGATCTCCCTCCTACACACGATTTGATGACGGGCCAAATTGTGAATCTCTCTCTCTCTCTCTCTCTCTCTCTGAATCTCAGAAGATCCTTAGCGCTAATGAGCCTGAGAACTCCTTCTTTGTTTTTGAATTTTATGGATGCAGTTGTTGTTTCATCATCAAAGGCCCAAAAATCCATATCAACAAGATATCCATCATGAAAATGTTGTGGGATTAGAATCTCCTTCAATTGGCTTGTAGTTGACCACAACATTATCTTCATCGGTTTGTCAGTTTTAGGATCAAGAATATCTTTGTCTTTTCTAACCAAAGTTTTCGCTGTCTTCATCATGGGGAAATTATCCCTGACCTGTCTATCTAAAAAGATGAAAGCGCTAGGATTTTTTGAAGGATTGTAGAATGGAGCCCTTGAGAGTTCAGAGAGATCAACCTTTATTCAGGAGTTGAAATAATGAATGCTTTTGTAGTACTCTGTATTTCTAGAATTTCTCTTAACCACCCACAGTTTAAGCTCATGATCATAGGCCCACATTTTGATCCCTATATGATCACCAAATTTTCTCTTTTCAAGATTTGTCACAATGAGTTGAGGTTCATTTGCGTTATGATTCTCATTTGAGTTCTTCATGAAGAGAAAACCTACTTTCTTCTCAGTTGTGATTGTTCTCTTTCCATGTTTTATTGTGATACGGGGATTGGCATTCACATGCTCTTTCTCAAATAGATTGACAATTCTTATTGTTCCTGTGGGTGGTTGATCAACATGATTTTCGCTTTCGGAAGGCTGGACGGGAGCAGTGGGAGGATCTTCAATACCATGAGGATGTTGAAAGAAGGACTGGAACTTATCACCAAAAGCTTCAAAAAAAATTCTTCAAGCTGAAGTAGAAAGCAGTCAAGGATCCAAGATTAGTTTGTAAATTAGAAATCTGTTTTGACTCCAATGCATTTCCTGCTTCAAGCTCAGCGATCCTGACATCATTTTTCCCAATCAAAATGTCCTTCTTAATATTTTGCTGATTGAGAATGCCAATTTCTTTTTTAAGCTTGGACACAACAAGATCAACATCCCCTGGATGAGCTTCCTTAATAGATATCCCTTTTCCACGTGAGGAAGGTTCTGAACTATGTTGTGCCAAGTGCCTTGCTTGATTGATGGAGGCTTCATCTAGCAAAGGCCTTTTAGGGGAGTATCCTTAAACAGCAGAAGATGTTCCAGTTTCATATATCGTACTTGGGACTTGTTGGGTAGGTACAGGTGGTGCAGTAGCTTTTGTAGTGGTGAATGTGGATGGAGCTAGCAGTGCTTGATCTTGAATAAACATTCCTGCTGCGGGTCGAGTCGTATTCTTTTTATAGAAGGCAAGGAGGTTTGTGTCGGTGTCGGATCACTTGTGGTTGGCACAGATGTATGAATAGCAGAATCAGGGGAGGAATCCTTGAAGTTTCATCCCTTTGGCTTGAAGTATCTTCCATCGATCTTGACGTAGGAGGCATAGTTTCGAGAATCTCATCAGCAACCCTAGTCTCAGTTGCTAATTGAACAACTTCATTGACCCTTGTAAAGAACTTGTCAACGAAATCCGAACTTAGACCAAAGTCATCATCTTCAAGACCAAGGTTAAGGGGGATTTCCTCATTGTTAAAGCATGTAAGGTCCATGTCCTTCAGAAAATCATCAACTTCATCATCATCATTTACCGTCACATTATCCATTAAATTTTCTTCAAACTCATCCTCATCATCACCATCTCCATCGTAATCACTCTGAACCTCCACGTTTTGCAGTTGGTCATGCTCCTTTGCCACGATTGTGATAGGAGGAACACGATCTTCTTCGTTTTCATGCTCTAAAGCCAAGATAACATTATCCACGGTTTCCGTGGGGCTTGAGAGATCATCAGACTCATAGTGATCACATTCTTCAATAAAGATGCCAAACTTGATCAGAGGATACTTTCCTTCAAAATTATCATCAGACTCATAGTTTTGCTTCGTCAATCCAAAGGCACTTGAACCAACAGACTTAAGGTCCAAGGTCTCTCCTCCTCTTTCTAACTCGTGGTGCATAGCATTGAAGATTAACTAAAGGAATCTTGGATACATGAGGAACTTATCTATGTTGTTTCCCTCAATGTTCACAATCATCTCGTTCAAAATGAACTTTGAGAAGTTGAACTCTATTCTTGAAGCTAAAGCAGCAATTGCATCGGTGTTGATCAGAGAGATTTCATCAGCTCCTGATTTCTGACCAGAGATACAGCTCACAAATACATGAGCTAAGTATCTCCAGTACGGAGATACTTAGATCATCTTGCTTGTTGCGATAAACCCAACATGTATCAAGAGACTTTTTGCCCTTAGGTAATTCAACCAACTTTCAAACCCCAAGTTTTTCAAATTGGTTTAATTCTTCATGCATAGCATCCACCCAGCTGGGCTCATTCAAAGCCATTTCAACATTCTTTGGCTCTATTTGAGAAATGAAGCAAGAGTAGTTGTACGCGGATTTCGGCAAATCGAGGGTCTAGACTACACTAAAGTTTATGCTCTGGGGGCAGGCTTGGAGGCTATTTGTATTTTCCTAGCATATGCCTCCTACATGAACTTCACGGTTTACCAGATGGATGTCAAGACTGCCTTCTTGAACGGTGCGGTGAAGGAAGAAATATACGTTGATCAACCTCTTGGGTTTGTTAACTCAAAATTTCCCAATCACGTATACAAGTTGGACAAGGCTTTGTATGGGCTACATCAAGCTCCTCGAGTGTGGTATGCCACTCTTACGAAGCACTTGCTCGAGCATGGCTATTCTCGTGGCATAATTGATCAAACTCTTTTCATCAAGCATGTTGTTGTCGATCAAATTCTGTTTCAAATTTACGTTGATGACATCATTTTCGGGTCCACAAGTCCCCAGTTATGCAAGGAGTTTGAAGTCGTCATGAATAAGAGGTTTGAGATGAGTTCAGTAGGAGAAATGACCATGTTTTTGGGGCTTCAGGTCCAACAAAAGTCAACCGGTATCCTGCTTCATCAAGCCAAGTATGTTGAAGATATGCTGGAGAAGTTTGGGTTTTGAGACGCAAAACCTGCTCTGATGCCAATAGCCGAGAGACCCCTGTTGAATCCAGATATTGACGGCGAATTCGTAGATTAGACTTCTTACAGATCGATGATCAGATCGTTGATGTATCTAACTGAGCCGACCAGATATTATGTTTGCAGTTTATCAATGCGTACGATATCAGGCTAATCCTAAAATTTCACATCTTATTACTATCAAAAAAGAAATTCAGTATCTCAAAGGCAGCCCAAAATTGGGTCTTTGGTACCCGAAAAATTCTGAATTTGATTTATATTCTTTTGGTGACAATCATTATGGAGGATGTGAGCTTAACAGGAAATCAGCCTCTAGTGGGTGTCAATTTCTCGGAGACCGGCTGGTGTCATGGCAGTGCAAGGAAAAGCACACCGTCTCAACCTCAACAGCAGAGCGGAATATATTTTTGGTTCTGCCTGTTGTTCTCAAGTTATCTTGATCCAAAATCAACTGTTGGATTGCGGTTTTAATTATCTAGAAACCCCTATCTTTTGTGACAATGAGGTTGCAATTCAGATTGACAAAAATCCAATCCAACACTCAAAAACCAAGCACATCGATATCAAAGTGCATTTCATCAGAGATTGTTATGAGCGTTCGCTCATTTGGTTGGAACAGATTCCCACTGCTAATAATGTGGTAGATTTGTTTACAAAACCATTTAACAAAGCTCGATTCGATGTGCTTGTGGGATTCTTGAAAATGATACGTTTTGAGGACTAATTTTTTGTTTTTTGTTTTAATCTAGTTTAAATTTGCGCATTTTAACTTCATTCTCACCCATGCACAAATTTAGGGGGAGAAATAAACAAAAACCAAACAAAAAAATAGAAAATAAAAAACCAAACAAAAAAATAGAAAATCAAAAAGACAAAAATATAGTGTATTTTTGTAGGTGTTGTGACTGGGGAAGTGATATCAACAAGTGAAGACGGGCAATCTGAATCAGTGTAAGGTACCAAAGCTGAATTGTCTAGACTCTGTGTTCGATGCGCCGGTAGGCATGAAAGATTTATATAGACTTGACTAGGAATAGATGAACTTAAGGAATCTAGAGACTTGACAAATCTTGACCTAGATAGATCCGTTTAGCCTGACAATACGATGCTCGAATAGGTTGAGCAGAGAGATATACATGGGAATCTGTGGATACATTAAATGATCTATATCTAGAAATGTGGATTAACTTTTCC